AAGAACGTCGAATCTGAATCACTTAGAAAAAACACGGAGGTGCTTAACTTTTTTCCAGGTGTATATTTAGGAACTAATTAAAAATACATTAAAAGGATATATTCCTGGGTGACCTATTTCTCCATAAGCATAGTCGGGAGAACATATCAACTTTGCACGTTGGCCCACACTCATCTAGGAGACAATAATAGTTATTGTACAGAGAAACTATATGGGTGTTAAAAGTTATCTTTATTAATACTTTATTTTGTCAGTAACTACCTTTAAACTCTTTAAAATGAAAGATTAACTGTATCCTATATAAAATCATCTTGTCCAAACACATTTATAGAGAAGTAGAATTTCAGAAACAGATGTGGCAATAACATTCATATGCATGAATTAAATTGTGGGATTCCAAGTAGATGCCACAAACAAACTAAGGAATACTACATAAGCCCTTTTTCTAAACTGACTAGTTTTAATACTATACGAATAAGATCAGACAAGTTCTGAAATAATTTAGGTCCAATACTGGAGATCAAAAATTAGAAGATTTTTAGTTTATTCTCCTGTCTTGTTTTCATATATTTGATGCATATGCTGCTCTTAAATTTTATGATAGAGAAGAGAAACTAAATATGGTTAGACATTTCACAAGTTTATGTAATTTTTAGTAGTTCCTTGTGTCACAATAGTAAATAAACCAATTTAAACAGTCTATCAGTTTGTTGCATATTGTACATAAAGTTTTTCCTGGTACATCAACCTTTTTAATGAAATCTCTCAATTTTGACTTCACCACTTGTGGTTTTCACCTAACAATAAATATAAATTCTAGTTCCTTTTCCAAACACTCCTATCTTGATTTGTTTTTAACCAAACATCCACTTCACCATGACACTCAAAAATTCATTCCTCTTTTACGTTAAATCAACATACAAATTTTCAACGACTTTTTTGGTGGAAGGATACAAGCCAAAAAATAAATGTCATTGTGCAAGATCTGAAGAATGTATTAATTAGATTCTGATAAACCAAAAATTGCAGTAATTATACATAAAATAATGAAATGTAGAGAATACATTATTGGGATGTAGTACTGAAATATGACTGTAATTTGAGCATGTTTTTACTTTTGTGTTATCATTAGAACAAAAAATAGGCTTGTTTTTCATATTTAGAACCACATGTATAATGAAGTTTATTTGTCAGAGACGAGTAGAGAGTCTATTAAGTGTCAATGAGAGGCAAGGTGAAGGTCACAAAGGAGTAACAAAAAACTTACCTGAGCCACTCCATGATCCCAACCCTTAATAACTTCTCCTTTGCCTATTTTAAACTTAAATGGTTGACCTCTATCCCGAGATGAGTCAAATTTTTCACCACTAGAAAGGGTACCTAGAAAATACAATTACTCTGTTATAGTTAGGGTTGTACTTTAATATGAGGAGTGGTGTAAAACTAAGTATTTGAAAATAGGTCTATGTACATTTACATTCAACAGTGTGATTAACAGGTACAAAAACTAAAATCTGGAAAAAGAACCTTTTTTAAAACAAACTTGTGAATTTTTTAAGGTGGCTCAACTGTAGAAAGCATTAAAATGATAATTACAACTAAAGTGTATGTATGATACAGTTTATATATAGTAAAAAGTTACACCCATCCTATTAAACAGGAAGCCTATAACAGAAGTTTGGTATTGCATATGGGCTACACAAAATGTGTTTAAATTTTGACTTTTGATGGCAAATATAGGAAAAAATATTTCTCTGATGACACAGCAATCATTTTTGTAGCTGTTCCATTTGCATGTGAATTATTTTACATGTAAGTAGGTATAGATATGCAATTTTTTTCCTCATCACAGTAAAATGATGGCTGTTTATGCTTACCTGTATAATGCACTACTACAGTCTGGCCTACTTTGGGAAAAGTCTGGCCTGTAAGGAAAGAAACAACAACAGTGAAAAAAAGAAACATCTGAGGTACATCTAAGTTTCTATTATAAAAGAGCACTGTCTAAAAGTATACACAGCATACTGTATGCCAGATGTTTTCAACCTGTGGGCTGTAATTCCCAAGGAGGCCACAAATTACAAGGTGTATTACAGTTTTTCATATCATTCCAGCTTGTAAATACACTTAGTAGAACTATATTATCCTAGCAAGAAAGGACCTACATATATATTTTTATGGATGTATGAAAACTATGTGTAGGGTTCCCTGTTAAAATAAAAAGGTTAAAAACCCTGTGCTCTAAGCCAATAAATGCATTAGTATATTAGATTTTTCCTATACATAAAAAACATTTATTCCTTATTCTGTTTTCCTTCTTTCACTAAGATACCACTGTATTTTTCTCACACACTCTCCCACCACAAGGAAACTGTGTTTACAAAAGTACACGATAAATTCTGTTATATTCACATCAATTTTAATGAACCTGTTATGTGTTATGCAGTACAAATGTTAGTTACATGTCATTGTTTTACTGTTGCTGTATCTGTAGAAATATTTATATCATACGTAACCAACAAAGATTACCACAAAGCCAAGCATAGAAAAAAAACACCCTGAAATCAAAAGATGCTAACTTAACCTGGTAGATATAACAATAAAAATGAAGTAATGCAAGAATTTTCACAAACTGGATCAACACAACATCACATCCCAAACTTGTGTTGTTCAATGAGGGCAAATGAAGAAAAACTACAAAGAAATAGTACTGAAACTAAACAAAAAATATAAACTAAAATGTTGCAGTATCTTTGCAGTCATTGTCACTACAACTTATAAGCTCAGTTTCAGAAAATATCACATTAAAGGAGGTCAAAATGTCAGCTTTCTGTCACTTTTAGGTTTAAAATGCAATGATACATGGGTTATATACAGCATGTATCATATACTTTTATGAGAAGCAAGACTGTGCATATCATGCATTAATAAAACAGTTTCTAAGAATTCTAATGTTAAAAACATTCCATGCTATTAAGAAAAAGTAATTATAAATAATTTCTAATCAAAACAAGCTATCTACATAAATTACACTTTTAAAAAAAGCTTTGGATAAGGTACCACCCAAGAGATTAGTCAAGCTAATAACATGGTCAAAAATGGGGATTGATTAGCTAACTAGATTGTAGGATAGTTGGATGAGAAAAAGTAAAATGTTATTAACACAATCCAGTCAAACTGGATCCTTGTTACAAATGGATGCCTCAGGGGTCAGTGTTTGGTCTTATTTACATGAATGATATTGACATGGCACAATTAGTAAATTATTACAATAAACTCTTGGGTATTTATAGCTGCATTCAGAAGTTGAGGTATTATCGGATGACTTGGTAAGTTTGACAAATATCGGAAAATGACCATTAATTATAGCAAGTGCAAGTTAATGCATTAGGGTTATATTTTGGATCACATGTTTAATATATATGAGAAATCACTGAAAGAAAGGATCTTTCTATATTACTGGATAAGTCACTTAACCCACTGAAGCAACATTATGTTGGTAGTAGTCAAATTTGGAGAATTTTTAGGGGGAGAGGGTTTATTTATAGACATGTTGATTACAAGTCAAAAAAGAGGTAATTATCTCTCTATACAAACAACTAGTTAGGCCTCACTTAGAATAATGTGTACAATTTTTGTACCCTTATTGAAGAAAGGATACTGACTTTCTGGAAAGAGTTCAGAGGAGGAATATTAGGATTATTCCTGGGATGGAATGGTTATCTTATAACAGATAGTTCATGAGAAAAAAAAAGGGGTAAAAGGTAATGTTATTGAACTTATCAAGTTTATCCAAGGGAATTGATAACATAAAAGCCTCTGATTTCTTTGTGCTGTATTTGGAAAATAATAAGTTAAGATGACACAAATTTGAGATTTGGAAATCACAAGCTAGACTCTAGTTAAGACAATTATTTTCTTAACAAAGTGACAAACTTGTGGAATGATTGCTGTTGGCAGTAGTAGAAGTTAACACTTTAAAGGAATTTAAGTGGAAAATTAACGAGTTCCTGAAAAAGAAAGAGTGAGTTTAAATTTTCACTTTTCTCAAGAGCAACTCTTAAAGACCAAATGGTTCCTTATGGTTAACAAATTATGTTAAATATTAATGTAGTTAATTTAATATATCAATCTAACTAAAAGTATGAAATATCAGAAAACAAACACTTTTAATTATTAGAATACACATATTCCACCAGCTTGGTGTTATTCACATTTTTGGCTGTAATCTAAAAAGTGTCCCTTGAAAGAAAAGTGTGACTTATTTGCCTACATTCTTAATGATACATTTAACTTCAGTTTACAGATTTTTCAGAAATGGTCTAATATACTCACTGGTGGACATGCTTGTGATCAAACGAAAACAATTATCTCAAGTTTCAGTTAGCATTCTTACAATATCCTAAACACAAGCTCAGCTAAACTCTGACTGGAACTCTGTGCAGTAAAAATGTATGTAATAAGAGTTTATGGATCACATGTCATCATGATTATATATATAAACTGAAAATGTTGCACTATACCTACGAGCGGTTCACTTCATGATTTCATTGTGCTCTCTCAGAAGGCCATTGCAATAAATTTTATGACTCATATACACAACTGCGTATTGCAATGTGACTATCAATAACTGATCTATTTGAAGGTGACAAAACATGCACATATAATTAAAGTAAAATGCTTTCTGACAATGAATTAAAATCTTACACTGATAAAATTTCTACACCAAATAAAAAAAAAAGGATCAATCTTAATTCATCTGCTGATACTGGAAGGTCATTAGAAAAATTTCTATTTACATTATTATTATGTTTTATTTCCTTCACTCATACCATTGTACATGTACATATGTCTGAAACCAGACAAAACACTATTTACATGTACAAGGTCATTTTGAAGAACTGGATAATAACTTGTTTCATACATGTCAGTTACTTGAAAAGTCAGTAAAACAGCTTACAATTCTTGAAACCTAGCTGAAAGAATGCAAATGATGTAATGATATTTAAACCTTAGTACAAAACTTTTAATATGAATGTAAAGCTAATTTACTAATACCTTATGGAAAAATAAGGTAAGAAAAATAATTAACAGTTACAAAAGATAATTCAGCTGACTGTCACCTACCAAACCAGCCCCAAAGCAGTAAAACTAAATTTTACTTGTCCAACATTTAAAGATTCTAAAACTAACAACATAAACACTACATAATCAGAAAACCATTTTAAGTATTTTATAACTCTGAACTCTCCCCCCAAAAAAGGAACAAGTCTGTATGTAGGTTCCTAAGTTTTATCATTTCCAATAATCAAGTTTATATTTCCAAACTTTTCATTCAACCTCTCACACAGATCACCTACAGGCAAATTATTGAAACTCTTTTAATTTTAATAACTTGAATCAAGTTGCCCTAAGTTTCTCGGTGCTCCTAATAAAACTAGTCTACTTATTTGAGCTTCTCACCTACTTTAACTCTTTCAGTATTACATTTTTGTTATCAAAATAAACAATATAAGTATAAATGACCTAGGATACACAAGGAATGCTTTCTGGAACTTACATATGTCCCAATAGGCAGTGTTGTTGGGTCATATAAATCCCAAGAACTATATGGAAACATGAACTATGTAATATATATATATATATATATTGTAAGGCAAAAGCAACTGGAAGGCCATGTTCAAAATATTTTTATGGGATATATGGATCCTACCAGTTGTGCATAAACAAACGATGGGGCAAGTACAGTCTAACAGTATTATAAGCCCCTCTATGCAACCTTTTAATATACTTCCTATACTAAAGGTACCAAAACAACACCCGGTACTCTAAATGAGGCCTGACTAGTCTTACACACAATTACAATAACCCTTACTCTTAAACTTTATCACATTTTGCAATATTGTATAAGGTATTTTTCACTAAAGTTAAATACTCACTTGAGAACTTAAAGCTTTTACTTTTTTTTTAAAAAACCACAATAAAGTTACCCTATAGTATTAGGAACTGCTTGAAATTTACAGTTCAACAATTCATATTATCAGTTGATAATGTATACAAGTATCTTAACATATACTGTGCCCTTAAATAGATAAGTTATTTCACTATTCATTAATATACTGATCAAAACAAACTTGTGAGAAAGATGAGAATTAATTCAGTAATGAATAAAGCTAATTTACAACAATGTTCTCACATTCTTCCTCATACTGTTAAAGATCATTGTTTCACCAGAGGAGTACGGTTAGTATTAGGGATACTTTCAGCCATAATCCGGGGAATATCTCATGAGGTGCAACTAGCTTGAGACATATAGGTTAATCATAAATCTGTATAATAAACTATACAGAATATAAATTATTTACTTTACTACAGTTAAGAAAAGTTATTCATATACAATCAAATTAATGTATCATTACTACACATGTAACTTGCTAACACAGTGGCACGATGTGCTATGCATTCTCACACCAAGTCAAAAAGTCTCAAATGGTAAATTTAAAATGCTTTATATTTCACCTGTAGTTGCAGTAGTAGTAGGTAAACTTCAATAAGGTTGGAAGTACTGTATAGAGAAGTGGGATGGAGATTATAGGGTGCAATAGATGACAAGAATGGTTAATGGCTATGTTTGAGTTTTACCAAAATATTCAGGAGGCTCAGAAAGATACAGTACACTATTTGCTTACTGGAGAATAAGAGATAATTTGGTTGCTCTATCAGAGTCAAAAATAGCAGAAGAAAGCAAAACAGGAAGTAGTCTTAGGATAAAGGCTGGTTAGACAGGAAAGTGAGAATGGGAGTCCTGGGTTTTCAGAATAACACAATAATAAAGATAGGGCTATAAATGCAGATTCAGTTAACAAGCGTGTACCAGCCTTTACATTTTTGAACCTGTGATTACTAGCATTGAGGAATATGATCAAGAAGCTGACATAGTTGTAGACACAGTATGCTGAAAAAGTTATTTACAGTGAAGAGCCTAGAAAAACTTGGCTTGCCAAAATTAATACAGGAAATTAAGTGTGTTGTCAATTTGAATGATGGTTCCAAAGAACATTTTCTATTCATGGTATATTAGGAGTGAAAGATTCTGAAAGTTGTAAATCAGAAGAGTTTCTTAGATGTGTAGCCCTTTCACGTTTTCTTTCACAGGCTAGATGCAACTGAATTAATTAGGCTTAGAGTAAAGATTGTCAGAGTTATGCTTAGAGCGACAGATGGGCTAGTTAGACCTGTGGGACAGTTTTCAGGGTAAGGATGCTAGAGAGAAGTTCCATTCAAGCAGGCAAGGTAGCAGGATGTTTGAGGAAGATCTGAAACAATTTAAGTTTCTATAATAGTTGGAAAGTTCAGAATTATTTGGTAGGATAGCTAGGACAAAAGGACGATTGAAAAGAATACTTAGAGCATAACAAGTTAAATTATAGTTTCAACAAACAAGCTATCAATCTAAAGATAACCATAAAAGATTTAAGAATAAGCTTAGTTGCTATTATTCTAATGTTAAGAATAGTAAGAACAACAAAATGATAGAGTTTAGGGTTGAAGTTGAAATAGAAGACAACATTATGATGGTAATTAGTGAAACTTGATTAGATTAAGAAAACTTCATTAATAGGAATTATTTTGAAATTCCAGATTATAGGTTACTTATATGTGGTATAATATGTAATGGATGATTTGTAGTCTGTTGAGACTAAAGACATAAAAGATAGTCAATATGGATTACAATCAGGTGTATTAAGGAAAATATGTTTTCAACTGGTAATCATTACAGACTTTCCAATCTGACTGATGATATCATTAATAAATTGTTTAATGTAATTAGAGTTGTTACTAATAAACATGCTGTTGCAATAATCAAAGGAGACTAATTACAGGCACATTAATCGGGATTATGTGGAGTCAAGTAGGGAGGGGAAGAAAGGGTTTCTAGAAGCGATTCATTATAAATTTTCTATAATATATGGTTAAACAATCAAACATAAAGTAGGCAATTTTAGGTATACTGTTAACTATTAATTACGATATGGTTTCAAAAGTGGAATTGGGGAACATCTGGAAAGAATAATCACTGCATAGTTATTTCTGACATTGTCCTTCTTGATGAAATGAAAAAAATTAAATTTTAGTTCCTTACTTTTAGGAATCCAGCTTAGAGATGATGAAAGAAGTTTTATCATTAGTGAACTGACAATGAATGAAATGGTTATATGGGGCAGCTTTGAGACTTTTGTTTTTATAAATGCTTTTAACTCAAGATAGGCATGTTCCCAAAACGAAAAGGATAACATGGAATATCAAAGCTAACTGGCTTTTTAAGGACATAAAGTGAGAAAACTACAGATAAATATTATAAAAGTGGCAGACAGGAAGAAAGACTTGCAGAACTATGAAAACTCTCAGAATTTGGTTAAAAATTAAATCAGAAAGTCATAGTGTTTAAAAGAAATAGATTACAATGTTAAGTCTAATAAGAATGTTTTCATTAGCTGTGTTAAAGGTAAGAAAAAATTGTTTCTATTTGAAGACTCGCTTTTACATTTTTTTTTTCTGTTTTTATACTTGAAATAATTCTTGACCATGAACATTCTATAGAAAATATTGGAAATGGTTAGAATCATGTAGATATTAATATTTTTACCTTCATGATTTATTTCAATGTCAAGCAACTTTTGAAAAAATAACACCATTTCCTTGTTAAAGTTTCAGAATATATCGTGTCATGGCAACAAGCTTCTTTATTATAACAAACATAATAATAAAAATTCTCAACTTATTCCAGAATTACTTGTTTTTTCAATAAAAATACAACTTTTATAGAAAGTTGCTATCCAGTTTTAAAGAACCTGGTAAAAATACAATTCTAAGAACTTAAGAGTGAAATTAAAGAATATGTAATACTAAGTTAATCATGCTATATCCATTGCCAACAAGGCTTATCACCCAATACTTTTGTCTTAAAATTTAAATTTTATCCTATATATTTATTAATTTACATTCCTAGATTAATGTTGAAATTATCATTATTGTATACTTGACATTTTAATTTGTTATTACTATTAACTAAATTCTCACAAGTACTAGTACTACTGTACTAAGCAATATATGATCATTTTTGTTTTAAGAATATAGTTGCCACACCTTTAACTTTGATAAACCTTTTAATATATTAAAGCTTTTAAAAACAATAATTTTGTATAAACTTTACAATAAGCAATATTTCGAACACAATAACTTAGATAAACTAACCAGCAGCGTGAAGTAGGCCTACTTTTAACTTTTAGTAACTATAGAGATGGATTGTTTAATACTAATAATTTAGGCCTAAGAATAAGATTAATACAAAAATCCAGACTTTCACCACGCAGAAGAATGCCCACTGGCCTCAAGCCTGAGAGCAAAAGTTACAGCCTTAAGACCTGCTTGCTTTACAAAATAGCTAAACGATGACCTCACTCTAACAGTAATAATATAAAATAGTATCTACAACACAGGAAGTTTTAAATAACGTTATAATTGAGAGAAAAATCCATACCATCGCCAGGTTTAATTGTTTCTATTTCTACTCCCATTTTCTTTCCGCTTTCACTTGAATACGCCTAACTTACTAGTAACTCCAACTAAGAACCGTTATCAACAACCGTAACATGCTGATTTGCTCCCTTAAACGCATGCGCAGAAAGGAGTTATCTTGCTGGTGTTGCAGTGCAAAAGTACGTGCACCATAACAGCAAGATATTCTTTATTGGGAAATAAAAACAAAGTTTATTGCAGTATCATACACCTTAGAACACAATATAATTTTCTGATGGGATTATCAGCTGTAGCAATGGATGATGATATAAGTTTTTCACTCAGAATAATGTTTACTCATTTAACCCTTCGATCCCTTTGTTTGTAGCTAAGCGCAAAGCTACACAATGGGCCATCTTTGCTGTGCCCACCACAGGTATCGAAACCGGTTTATTGGCGTGAGTCCAAAGACTGACCGCTGTGCCACTGGGGATCTAACCTCTCGGTGATCTAAGATAAGTGCGTAATAGAACCTTCCAGATAGCATATTTGTACCATAAGCCTCGATGCCAAACTGTTTTAGCGAACTTTTTCAATGTCGAACTATTTTCATAAGTGTGCCATTACAGGTGTTGTGACTTATGTATTTAATATTTAAAGTTAGATATTTTGTTTTGCTATATGTAGATGTAGCAATATGTATTGATAATATGTGACGTTTAGAAATTTCCCGAGTCTTAGAAATCACGCGATGTCTTGAATTTTCTAAAAATTCGGGAACCAATAGAGTAACAATATATAAACACTAGAAGAATGTTGGATAGCAAGTTAGTTAGTGAAACAGTTAGATATATATTATTTTATTACAAGTTTGTTTGTTATGGAATTCGCGCAAAGCTACATGAGGGCTATCTACGCTAGCCGTCCCTAATTTAGCATTGTAAGACTAGAGGGAAGGCAGCTTGTCATCACCACCCACCGCCAACTCTTGGGCTACTTTTTTACCAACGAATAGTGGGATTGAATGTCATTTTATAACGCCCCAACGGCTGAAAGGGCGAGAATGTTTGGTGGAACAGGGATTCGAACCCGCGACCCACAGATTGCAAGTCGAGCGCCCTAACCACCTAGCCAATGCCGGGTCCTTATTACAATTACAGCTTTTACAGTAACAAGAATATTGTTACGTCTCCGTTTGTTAATTAACTTTCCGTAACTTCGTTCCGACGAAACTTTAGCGACACAAGTCCTTACTTAATAAAACTGGTTTATTCTTTCTGAATACAACTTTACAATACACTTAATTTCAACAATCGCGCTAAAACAAACACTATATCAACGAACGTCAACAATACTTCTGACTGCAGTTCAATTACTCACTATCTAAA